ATTGAGCATCTGCTATATGCCACAAGTCCCCTAAAATCCCCCAGGGCTGATTCTGTACCTGGATTTTCTTAGTTTCTGGATAGAAATGAGCCTTCTCCTAGATATTTGTGGGAGAGCCTGGCCTCTCTGCTCTGGCTGGCAGAAGCTCTCTCTTGGATGCCCTGCCTCTGCCCAGACCTGCTCCGCCTCTGCAGAGAGCTCTCAGCACCGAACAAACGGACAGGTTTACTTCTCAGCTGATGACGACGTGTGGCAGGTCCCTGAGACTTTCTGAACCTCGGTTTCCTCAACTGTCGAATGAAGGGGTAAATGAGAAACAAACAAATGAATGATTGAATAATTCATAGGACCATTGTATTAGGCAGTCACTTTAAAAAACAATGTTTTAAAACCGTATTTAAAATCAGAAAATGTTCTACATAGAATATTAGATGAGAGGTAATGTGAAAGTACATATGTATTCTTATGTAGGTCACATATTCTGTATCTATTGTCAGAAACATGAAAACTTTGTGGAGATAGAAATCTTTGAAAACAAACGAGAGGGTATAAACCTGGTTGATCACCAGGTTCCCTTCTGGCTTAAAAATCGATCAGGCGCAGAGGTCCCACCCAGTGCGGAATTTGGTATTCCAAACTTAAAATGCAAATATTCTTTGACCCGGTAACTCTACTTCTAGGATATTATCCTAAGGAAAAAACAACCGACCAACCAAATAAGTGCATGAAGATACATTTAAAAGGATACATACTGCAGAGATATTTCTAGAGCATAGTAGTGAAAACACTTTAAGTGCCCCCAATTGGGGGATTGTGTTTTTAAACAAGTGATAATTTATATGATAGAATCCTATGCAGTCGTTATGATTGTTGCTGTAGTCATTTATTTATAGATGATGGGAAGAAGCAAACAGAGACAAATTACACAACAGCATGTACGTATACTTTGACCCAATTCATATTGAAGACATACTTTCATAAATGCACATTCACCTGTGTATACGTCGAAGGAAGTCTAGGAGGAAATACAGTAAGATATTCATCGCTTTTGGGTGATAGGATCACTAAAGGTTTTTACTTAGTTAACTTTGCTTACTCGTGAGTTTTTATATAATGAACATGTAATAACACTCATAGCTTCCCACTTGGAGGTGCCAGGCCGGGTATGAAGCATATCATATGTGTTTCATTTAATCTTCACAATGATCATTTAAGGGGTGTTGGGAAATCCATTTTAGAGAGGGGAAAACCGAGGCTCAGGATAAGTCATATGCTGTATTAGTATCTTACTGTTGCTGTAACAAATGACCACAAACTCAGTGGCTTAAAACAACACAGATTTCTTATCTTACAGTTCCAGAGGGCAGAAATGTGAAATGGGTCTCACTGGGCTAAAACGAAAGTGTCAGCAGGCCTGTCAAAGCATGGCCCCAGCCTAAACGCAGAATGGCATCTGGGGCCCTGGCCAATGTCTCTCCCGCCAGTCAGATCCCAGAGGTGCATTCTCACGGTTGCCATGCGGGGTTTTCCCGGTGATTTACTGTACAACCTTCACTAGGGGAAAGCTTTCTGGAGGGCAGAGACCATGCCCACCTCACCTCTATTTCCAGCACTCCTAGCTAGGGGACGCTCCAGAACTTTGCATCTGGCCTTTGGAGCCAGGTGGGCTTTCATCCTGTTTTGCCACAATAGCTTTCCCAGCCTCAGTTTATTTATCTGTAAAACAGGGATAATAGCAGTACCTCCCACACTGGGTTGGTGTGAGGATGAAATGAAATGCAGAAGGTCAAGGTGTTTGGTCAGGGCTTGGCACGTGGCAGTGGTAATGGTCGGTAAATGTCAGCCTTCCTCATTGGAGCACACAGTAGGTGCTCAGTATGGGGTAATTGTTGTCATCGGAGCATACATTCAGTAGGCACCTGAGAGGTGGTCCAGTCGTTATTGGAATGCAATGACCTGCATATAACGTGCACTCGGTATATGGTAGTGGTCTTTATTGGAGCCTGCTGACATGCACACAGGAGGCATCCAGTAGATGTGGTTTGCTTGGTTCCAACCGTTGTTTTAGTGGAAGTGGTTCCAGTTCTGTCTCCGCAGTGGAGAGAGCAGCCTGGGGGCTAATGGCGACAGAGAAAGGTGCTGGCAGAGGCAGGCGGTCCTTTCCAATCACCCCCGGAGCCTCTACTACCTTATCAATAAAGCAAGGTGAATAGCGCTGCCTTCTCAGGACAGCCGAGGGAGCACATTAAGTGCTTTGCACCCAGTAGGCATTCCGCAAAGTCATTCCCACCTCTTAAATGTCCAGCGAGCTTCTGTGCTTAGTCCCGGAGAATAGCTTAAAGCAAGTTCAAAAAACCTCTTCCTGAGCATTTTCTATAAAGGTTCAACCGTCTCTTAGATCAAATAGTTTTCTTTTTTAACACACGGCATGTGGGATGGCATCTATCATCTCATGAGCATTTAATGAGAGCTGTTCAATTTAAACAGTGAGAAGAAAGGTGCTCTGCTTTCTTCAGCTGCTGATTAAGGAGGTGCTGTTGATATTGGAGTTAAAGGTGACATGGCCTGTGTTTTCTGAATGTGATATTTTATCAGAAAGCAAAGCTTTAGTGATCGGAACCTAAAACCAATGAGATGTTTTTAAAAATTCACTTATTTTCTCATAATAATAATAATAATAATAATAATAATGATACTATCATGTACCAGGGAGCCAGGAATTATTTTAAGTGCTGGGGATAAGACTAGTGAACAAGAGAGATAACCCTCATGGAGTTTATATTCAGCGGGGCAGTGGAATGGTTCAGATGAATGATAAATTTGTAATCCCCAATGCTTTCGATTTTAGGAGAGAAAAGACAGAATAGACGTGGACACAGAGGGCAGCGCATGTTCCCAGTCTTGATGGGTGGGGAGAAGGTGGAAGTGATCTATGAGTAACAGTGAGCTGCGTTAAGGGTACAGTGAGGGCTGAGAGGGGAGGAGAGCGAGGGGAAAAGTGTTCTAGGAAGAGGGAACAGCATATGCAAAGGCCCAGAGGCAGAAAGACAAGTTGGAACTGAAACAAATTAAGAGCGTTTGGAGAGAAAAGTGGAAGGGAGGTGGGAGAAGTCTACAGGGCCTTATTAAGAGTCTAGATTTCATCCTGAGGCAATGAGGAGCTATAGAGGACTTTAAGGAAAGTGGAGAAATGAGGTGTGGATGCATCTGATTTACATCTGAGAACAATGAATGGGCTAGAAGGGAAGGCTGGAAATAGTGGTCAGAGAGTGACACCGGAGTTGTCACTGGGAAAGCAGGTGGGACAAGGAGAAGTGGACTTACTGGAGGGGCATTTAAGAGGTAGAATTTACAGGTGCCCATTTGTTTGTTGGGGTACGGAAGGGGTAAGAACGGTACCAGGAGCAGAAATACCTGGAATTTCTTTCCACCTTTCCCAAGAGGTTTTGCAACCATCACCTGCTTCTCATAGCCTAATTGTGGCCCTGAGCCTGATGGTGGCTTTCCTGGGGTCACATGGTCTAATCTTCTCTCTTCAGCGCTCATCACGATCTGTAATTTTACTTTCACTGAATGTCATTTGATTAATGTCTCTCTCCACTGCTAGACTATACACTCTATGAGGGCAGGGTTTGGTCCTCCTTTTGCTCACGAGGTTCTCAAAATGCATTTACAGAATGGATGTTGGAAAGACCCAATAATCATATCAGTGCTTCGTCTTAAAGGGGTTGTTTCCTACCCAGACTTAACTAGAAACTTAACTGTAATTGATCCCTATAAAGTATATAACCTTTGACCTAGCTAGCCCCATCTAATAAAATTTTCCTAAAACTATCCACCAAGTGTTGAAATATGTAACAATGTTCATTTTAGTAATATTTGTAAAAGGAAAAAACAACAAAACAGCGTAAATGTCCAATATCAAGAAGTTAGTGGAATAAAGTGTGGTGCATCTACAGAAGAATAAGCCATTAAAATAATGAAGACTTCTTTATATTTTAATTTCGGTAATATTGAGGTATAATTGACATATAAAATTATAAGATTTAAAGTGAACATATTAAATATTATTATAATATTAAATCTGGTGATTTAATATTATGTATACATTGTGAAAGGATTGTTTTGATACAGATATTCTAAAATGGTAAGAGTAAAATGAAATTATTTTTGTGAATAAACAAAATTATCTATACTCATAGTTTATAACTGGAAATATATACCCCAAATTGTTTATATCCAAGTAGGGGAATAGAAAAGATTTTTATTTACTTCTTTGGGTTTTTTCCTTTAAATTTTCTACAATGTACTTGTATTATTTCCTAGTAAGAAATGAAAACAACTTTTTATTTCCTGGGGATAGTTATCAATGTCAAAGGCTGTTCTTAGATCAAATCAGATAAGGACTATTAAATAGTGCCCTTTGTATTTAGCAAAAGCAAAGCATTTTGTGGTCACAGTGAGCAGTTTTGATAGAAGCAGAGCCACGAGTCAGCAAAATAGGAATAATTATGATTTTAAAAATATCATTTCCCAGGAATCTTGTTTGGAGCAAGTGGGGATGAGGAGGATCAAATTTATGTGCAAATATATTTGGCCTTTGAGAAAAATGCCCAAAAGTTCACTCAGGCCCTCTCATCCTGCAGTTAACCAAAACAAAGTGAGCATGCGTGAAATTACAGGATGGCGAAGGCGATTTGGCTTGTTTCAGGAAATGCGATAGAAAAATAAGTCCTTAACTATTGCTGAATTTAGAAAGGGGAGCAAAGAATCATGCAAAAAGGTTAAAAAAAAAAATCAAGGGTAGATCAATTGCATTTCTTGAAACAACGGTCTTGCAAGCCGAGCCATAGCTCCGGGGAACTCTGCGAACGCGGGCTGCAGAATCTCTCCGTGCAAAAATAAGGGCAAAGCCCGCTGCATTGACCCGGGAGCGCGAGACACCACGCGCTACCGGGTTTGACCAATCAGAGAGCAGAGGGGGCCGGGGCGGTGGCTCTTGCGCGTGCGTGCCCCGTTCCGCTCGGCTCGCGTTGCCTCTGGCCAGTTTGCCGACCGCTTCCAGTCGGTGCTGTTTTCCTCCGTCTGTTCTCGCTCACCTGTCCCGGCTATCCGCCCGCTCGGCCCCGCGAAGAAAATGGACCTAAGCAAGTGGTCCGGACCCTTGAGCCTGCAGGAAGTGGACGAGCGGCCGCAGCAACCGCTGCAGGTCAAATACTCCGGGGTGGAGATCGACGAGCTGGGCAAAGTGCTGACGCCCACCCAGGTACCCGAGGGCGCGGGGGTGCAGCTGCCCAAGGCCGGGAGTCCTGCAGGACGGTGGGTTCGGGGACCCAGCGGAGGTAGGAAGGACATTCCGGCCAACGTGCGCCCTTCCCACCCAGGCAAGGGGGTCGCGATGCTAACGCTGCAGGCCTGAGGTCACCCGGAGCACCCGGAACATGGCACCTGGTGGGGAGGGGCCTGTGGGGGAAATTAATCTACTTGCCGGGGTCTTCAAGGCACTGGCAGGGGCCTAGGCCCGGAAACAGTCGGCACCGCGGGGTGCGGGGGCGGGGCCGGGCCGTGCCCTGGAAGGGGTGGCCTTGGTTGCCCCCGTGTCACCAGAGCCTTCCTTCAGAGTTTTGGGATTTTAGGCCTACTTTGGGGAGCAAAAGCCTCATCCGAGGACATATGACGCATTATGTAACCGGCAATGATCAGCGAGGCCTCCTTTGTTTTAGCGGTCAAGAGCGTGATGGTGTCTTCTGCAGCTTCAAGTCTCGAGGGCAGTGGTCTTTGTTTTATCGTTTGGCCGATGATTGAGGCAGGACCAGGCTGCTGAAAGTGGTGAAATTAGAATGCCCTACACTGTCCAAGTTGTTCTGAGCCGTCAGCGGTGTGACTAAACTGCTCTGTTTGTTTTGGGTGTTTAAATATGAAGTAACTGTCTTGCAGCCTCACTTGTCCAAGACTGACAGCTCATATCTGGCCACCTCGACTGTTTCGTTTTCTGTGCCCCTTTAAATGTCCAGTTAATTCAGATTTCAATATAGCAGGGCCTAGGTAACCTCTGGGTCACCAAATCTGGAGACCCTGGCGTTCCAGACAACTGTAAGGTTGTAGTTAAGAGGACTCCATCAGCACCAGGGTTGAAATCCTGACCCCACCTCTTTCTGTTAATAACATAGCAGCTTTATAGTGTTGCTGGGACTAAAATAAGGTAAAGAGAATATTAAGTTTCCTAGTAGAGTCAACACACTTTAGCTTTTAGTAATAATCTACTCTGTTTTGCCTACGAGGACTTGAGGTCAAAGAGCATTGGTTTCTTTAGTATTTCTGACTTTTTAATTCTAAACTGATTCCTTCTTACAGGTTAAGAACCGGCCCACCAGTATTGTATGGGATGGCCTTGATTCAGGTAAACTCTACACCTTGGTCCTGACAGACCCGGACGCTCCCAGCAGGAAGGACCCCAAATTTAGGCAAGTTGGGCAAAGTTGGAGACCAGCGGGTCATCCAAATATGAACTGGTGCTTCTTGCACTGTGTAAGCCCCTCACTGGACATGCCGTGTTAGGAGATGTGATTTGGGATGCTCACCAAACATGCTTAAGCCAGAGTGTGCATTTTTGGCCTCTTCAACCCCTAGAGCAGGAGATTAGAAACTAGCTGAGAGCCACAGCTGCCTGAGGCCTATTTCTGTATAGCTCCATGAGCTAAGAAAGATTTTTACATTTTTAAATAATTGAGGAAAAAATGGAAAGAATGATGATATTTTGTGATATCTTAAAATTACATGAAATTCAAATTTCAATGTCCATAAATTAAGTTTTATTGGAACACAGCCATGACAACTTATTTAAATCTTGTCTGTGGCTGCTTTCATGCTATAGCCAGAAACCTGACTTGTCATGACAGAGACGGTATGAATCGCAAAGCCTGAAACGTTTATTGTCTGGCTATTTACAGGTTTGTTGACCCCTGTGTTGCACTGGCCAAGAATGCAGGACTGCCTGGTTCATTGCTGCGTCCTGGCATGGAACACGTGTTTCATGCACTGTCATTGGTGGTGCATTCCTATGGCACTGACGGTCCTGTATTCCTCCTCATAGGGAATGGCACCATTTTCTGGTGGTCAACATGAAGGGCAATAACATCAGCAGTGGCACAGTCCTCTCCGATTATGTGGGCTCTGGGCCTCCCAAGGGCACAGGTTAGTAAAGGCTGCTTTTAGAGGTGATGCGGGAGGGGAGTCTGGGTGGACATTAGGATTGGCCTAAAATGCTGCAGACTTTAGTTTGGTTCTTAGAGCTTTATACTTTTATTTATGAGAGTTCTCTCCCTAGTGGAGATTTCAGGCAGTGTAGTTCACCTCCAAGGCAGTAGTCAGGTGGCTAGAACCTTGGGTTCTGGTTAGACGGACTCTGTTAGCATCGCCTCTGAGTAGGAGTTGGTGAGGAGATACCGAGGAAGCAGTGTTGCAGAACGCTTGGAATGGCTTCCTGGGGGGTGTGCACATGGATCGAACACAAACTATTTAAGTTCTGTATTCAGCCTTTGCCCTCTGTGATCTTTGAACTTCCTAGTTTCCATAAAAAGATCTCAGGAATGATGATAGTTTCCAAATTAATTATTAAAAATCGGGTTATCTTTTTACAACTCCCTTTTTTTCTCTTGAAAATTGAGCATGATATCTTGAAAGCATTTGGAAGACTTTAAGAACTATACAGAAGACAGGCCCACATTATATATGTAAAGAGAGAGAATGCTATATTGAATCTCTCCAAGTTGGGTGGATAAGTGCTGCCTAAGCTAATGGCGCACTGTTATTGCTTGTGCATGATAGGATGTTTCTATTTGCTGGAACAAGGAAGTCGTGGTGGGTGAAGCGTGGCGGCATACTAGCTTTGGTACACATTGTCTATCCATGAGTTAGTCTGAAGGACAGTTGGCCATAAACATGTTTAATCTGTAAACCCAGAAGTTTCAGATGCCTTCAGCCTTCTCATACATTCATAAAAGGAAGATAAAGGCACATCTTTCTCAGGGATCTATTAAGTTCTCTAGGGCAGTTATCAAAGCAGGCAGTTTAATTATGGGAAATACACACATGAGAATAAAGCAGTTTTCTCAATTAGGAGCTGTGTTCTCATTAACAAAGAAAGCCTCAGTAACTCACTCGCTCCCCACCACCTTTTAGTAAGGTGTGACTTAGACATAATAAAGATTGTAATGGTTTAGTCACTGAATATTGACTGATGCACACACCCTTTAAGTTAAATTTTCCCAGAACTAATCATTCTCCTACACCTATCTCCATAGATTACTTTTGTATTCATATAAACGATATTAATGCAGTATGCATTTGTTTTTGGTGATCGGTCTCTTTCACTCAAGATAATGTCTGAGATTTATCCATGTTGTCATTTGTATCAGGAAGTTATTCCTTTTTATTGCCAAGTGCTATTCCATTGTGCAGATGTACCACAGTTTATGTAACTATTATGTTTATGGACTTTTGTTTTTTTCTCAATGTTTGGATATTATGAATAAAGCTGCTATACACATTCTTGTCATTTTGTGGACATAGGTTTCCATTCTTTGGGGGCTAAATACCTAGGAGTAGAATTATTGGGTCACAAAAGTTGCCCAAGAGTTCTCCAAAATGGTTGAAAATTTTTACACTCTAGTCAGCAGTATATGAAAATTTCAGAAAATCCACGTAGGAGCACCCTTCTTGTTGCTAGATAAGATGCTGCCGAATTACTAAATAGCTTCATAAAGCCAATTAGATCTTTAAATTTAAAAAAAATCCATGTAGCTCCATACCGAAATGCATCCATATTATAGCATGTGACAGGATTTCCTTCTTTTTAAAGTCCGAACAGTATTTTATTATGTATGTGTGTGTAGACACACACACACAACATTTTGTTTATCCATCCATCAATGGGTATTTGGGTTGCTTCCACCTCTTGGCTTTTGTGCGTCAAATTGTGCGTCAATGAACATGCGTGTATGAATATTTAAATAACTTTTCTTTAAATAACTTAAAAAAACAAAACTGCTGGTGCCTGTTTGTGTCCAGTACTTAATTGGAGCTTGTAGAAAGACGCAAGGTTAATAGGGTGCTTGCCTGCTCATTTTAAAACATTCTTTGCTAGTTAGTTGAAGTGAGTTGGGGTCATTTCTTTCAAAGCAGGTCTCTTTTGTCTTCTAAGGAAGTGAGTTTTGAAGGTAGAAAGGTAATGTTTTCCTTTAGTCTGGTTGCAGTATGATGAGCCCCTGGTCAGTGATTTGCTGTGTCCTTCATCCATCTCTCATGTATATTTTTAGCACCTCCTATTGCCAGGCACTGAGGTAGGTTCTAGGGTGATATTGGTCAAGAAGACAAACGCCATAGCTTTGTGGAGTTCTCTTTCTCACAGGGAGATTAAAAAGTAAGAATTTGAGATAGCAGTATTACTGTGACAGAAGTACAGTGGGCATTCCGATGGGAGTGGTGGAAAATGACTGGCGATGGGCAGGAGTCCTGGAGTAGGATGAATGAGGAGCAGAGAGTGGTAGGAGAGATGCGCAAGGGCCCGATCCTGCAGGTCCCTAGAGGCTGTGATGCCGAGGGTGGACTTGGTACCAATTGCAGTGGAGAGGCATTGAGTGATTTTTCAGCTGGTGAGTGACCTGCCTCGTTCTACCTCTCTAAGTTCTCAGTGTCCTCCTTGTGAATGAAGTGGTCCGGGTCCCTCCACGTTAGCACGTTCTGTGAAAATGGGTGACGTCTCCATCAGATGCCTGACCGTGTGTACATCTTCCCTCTTGTCTCCCTCCAGGCCTTCACCGCTACGTCTGGCTGGTGTACGAGCAGAACGGCCCACTGAAGTGTGACGAGCCCATTCTCAGCAACCGATCTGGAGACCATTGTGGCAAATTCAAGGTGGCATCTTTCCGCAAAAAGTATGAGCTCGGGCCCCCAGTGGCTGGCACATGTTACCAGGCGGAATGGGATGACTATGTGCCCAAACTCTACGAGCAGCTGTCTGGGAAGTAGGGGAAAGCCAGGAGACAGAAATCACCCCAGAAGTCCCAAGCAGTGTCCTCAAGTTCTGTGGTGTATGTAGATTTTTCCTCCTCTATTCCCATTCTCATAGATGAGACCTGAGCAGATAGTAGTTTAAGGTGACTTTTTCTTCTGCCTGTCCTTTATAATTACACAGGGTCACACACCCTGGTTTATGTTTTGATCTAATTTTAACTCCATTTTAGGCGATACTTTGGTACTATGATGGGGTCATCAGATTGTTAATGTAGGAATAGCAATCCGGAATTTAAAAAAGAAAAAAATTAGAGAAGAACAGGTCTATAGTAATAGGGCAGAGCATCAAAAAATCTTTAAAAGAAGTTAAAAAATTCATTGCCTCTGCCTTTGTAAGCCTAAGTCCAGGATTGTGCATAGTGGAATCCTCTGAGGGGTGTTTTCACGGTCCAGTCTCTCACCAAACAACTAGAGCCTGGCGTGTCCACTAACCCCCAATATGGTACATCTCAGATTTGTTACTACGTGTCAGTATTCTGTTCTGGCTCCTTCAAAGAGCATTATTATAAGAGCCAATGGGAGAGTTGCTTTCCTATTGAGGCGTGACCATCTAGATGAGCTGCAGGGCTGGGTGAAAGATTTGTCAGAAATTTGTTAAGCCTGTGCCTGTTAAATTGATCACTCTTCATTGGTGTAAGAAAAGCCTGTCTGGAGTTGCTACATGTTGTGTTAATTCTGCAATTTGATTCTAGTTGAATAAAATGAAAACATTGTGAGGACAAACTGAGCCTCCAAGTATTTTACCCTTTTGGGTGTGGGGTTTCATAAACGTGGGAAGTCAAGAGACAGCCTCCAAGGGTGAGTAGATCCTTTTCCTGACCAGCAGTAATGATTAGGACTTGATTCACAGACCATACAGAGAGTTCACACTTAACACACATGCCATTAAACTGTAGCCGGAACAACCATTAATTTAAACTTAGGTTTTTTTAAAAAGTCACAAAACTTTAGCCAAGTCTTGCCCAAAAAGCACCTTTGCTTTTTCGTAAGTGGTCCCTCAGGACGTAGTTGTGTGCAGACTCCGTAACAACAGCTAAAAAATAGCCTGTACCTCTTTTTGTTCTGACTTTATATCCAATATACAATCAATACCAAAAAGGCTCGGGGATGGTGATAGATCACTCACAACACTTGATGTACCAGATGAAGGGGAAGCAGGTGTTTGAAGGTCCGAATCACTGACCTCGCCTGTGATGGAGACAGGATCCTGAGTTAGGCCTGGTTGGGCCTTTCCCCCACCTTTTGCTGCAGTGCTTCTCTGAAAAACTGATGGAAACGTTGCCTCGTGTCATCACTGGGACATAAGATAGTAATTTTTTTAACTTTGGGGTTTTAAAATTCATTTAAAAATATTTTATAAAATGAAAGTTGTAAAGAAAACAGTCACGCTGTTGACTTTAAAAATAAATAAAAAGGAATACATGCACATGGTAAGATGAGGCAAACAGTACAGGAAGAAAATGCCTTTCACCTTCCTATTTCATCAACGGCAGTTACCAGTTTTCTTTTAGAAAAAAATATAAAGGTATCAGTATATATCTACATATTTATCCTTAAAAAGTTATCGTCTGCTATACGGAGGGGTTCCACTCTGTCTTTCCCCAACTAGTGTACCTCTATGCAATATATCTTCAGTTAACAGGTCACCACAGTACACCTGAAAATATTGGATGTCAAATCTAATATTAAAAAAACAGGTCACCACAATTCATGTCATTTCGAACAAATATTCTATCTTATGGATGTTCCACAATTAACCAGTCCACTTCTCTACTGTGATTAGATTATTTCTGGTTATTTGCTATTGTAAACTGTTTCAGCAAACTTTTTATCTGTATAAAATGTTTTTGCAAACAATTTAGTGGAATAAATTCCTAGCATTGAAACAGTCCAAAAGATACATACTTTTTTCAGTGCTGATACAAACCACCCCCCAAAAAGATCACACTGATTAAATTCATGGCCATGGTGATAAAAGTAACTTTTCTCATACCCTTGCCAGTTTTCTCAAACTTCAAATATATGACAACTTGTTATTTACATATGTTTAAAACCATTTACTCTTTCTCTAAACTACTATTTTCTTTGAGACCTTTATCTTACATCACAGTACTTTTTAAATCATAGTCTGAAGATTTATAAGGAATTATAATCTGTTTCCTTGTCTAAAACAGGTATAGGCATATAAATGATTCTGAAAAAGGTCAACAACCCAACCAAAACAACTTGTGTATGCACAAGAAGTTCACATAAAAAGAAAAATAGGTATGAAAGATAAGTTAGTAAGCTTAGAAACAACGGGATACCATGTTTCACCTCTAGAAAGGAGAAGTGACCTTGCCTAAGGGCATCTCCCTCTGGAAGTGGGTGATCCACCTCAGGAACCCAGCTCCAGCCTCAAAGCCCAGTTCAGAACCATCACGCCCACTTACACACGAATTCCCTTTGAGGCTCAGCCTCCTCATGGGAAACATGGATGGGGGGGAATCAATCTGTTACATTTACCTCATCAGGTTGTTGAAGAATAAAATGATTTGGTTGGTGAGATTAAATGATTAACTTGACCTGATTGACACATAGGAACAATGTCCATAAAACAACCACTTTCCTCAAGGCAGTTTGCGGCCTGGCTATGTTTATCAAGCGTGTGTTTTTAAAGGTTTAGAATGAAGAGACATGCAGGAGTCTTTATCACAGTACAGCCGTAGCCGCTTCTCCAGAGCCCAGTATTTTTAACACAGCCCTGGAATGTCAGGAACTGATGATTTTGACTTCATGGCAGAACATATATCTAACATGGCAGATTCTCGGGAAGCCCTAAATAAAACACAGGATTGGTGTCTCTCTAATATTTCACCATGATAGTACGTGGCCTACATCCTCTTCTTTATCTACAGCAAGGGACTGTTTCCTTCAATCGCCTACTTAAAACTCCTCAGCAGTTTGCAGTCGCTCTGGAATACGGACCAGATCCTTACGTGACCGGTCACTCTGTGTGATCTGACCCCCATTTGCCTCTCTAGCTTCCCACCAGTTGTCTTTCCATTAAATTTCAAATGCGCCGCGGCAGCCGCTCAGTTCCTTGAGGAGGCCGGGCTACTTCCGAATTTGGTTCTTTACAAAAGCTGCCTGGAATCTTCTTCCTCTCCCACTTTGTGACAAAATCCCATTCATTCTCTATCTCTGACCTTCAGGGGATCCTTCCTTCCCTGACTGGGCGCGATTCTCCTGTGCTATGCTATTGCAACATTGCAATTGTAACTTAAAAAATATGTGTATGTAATTTTTAATTTAATGTTTTATCTCCTCTATATGATCTTTCTTGAAGGCAAGGACAAGTGATCTCTGCCTTTTAACTAGACTTAGAGGCTGTTAATATTTAATGTAATTATTGATATGGTGAGATTTGGATCTACCATTTTATGTTTTGTTTGCCCTGCTTTTTCCTTATATCTCTGCTCCCTTTCCTGCCCTCTTTTGGATTATTTGAACATTTTTATCTATTAGATTTTTGGCTATTACCTCTTTGGGTTTTCTTTTTTGTTTTTTAGTAGTGGCTCTAGGAGTTACTATATATATAACTTAACTTTTCAGTCTTAGAATAAAAGGTGTATCACTTAATGTAAAATATAGAAGCATGGCAACCAGTGGGTCTTTTAACCACTAACCTTTATGTTATAGTTGTCATGTGATTACATTTTTACATTTACAAATATTGAAACCCTCACCCAACACTGCTTTTAAATATATATAATCGTTCAAGAATAGGAGGGAAAAAATTCTTTATATTTATCTAGATATTTACCATCTGTTGCTCTTCCTTCAGTCCCAGAGATCCAGGTTTCCTTCTGGTATTTTCCTGCAGTATGAACAGTTCTTTTAGCACTGCTTCTAGAGGAAGTCTGCTGACAGTTCTCAATTTTTCTTCATCTGTTGCTTTTCCACAATCCACCCTTGCTTTCAATTTTTCAGCGTCCTCATAAGATTGCTTTTGCATTTTGTCTAGCTTTTAATTGTAATCAGCAGGCAAGATTTACATTGCTCTACTAAACTAGAACAATAAAATGTATTTTTTATACCTTATATCTATGGCAAAATACATTAACTGAATTAAAATCAAAGGGGTATATGGAGTTCTTACATGAGCATGTTTCCAGTTGCCCAGGAAGACTCTTTTTTCAATATATAACCAAATAATTACAGATGGTGGTAAATTAAAGAAATAAACTCAGACATCACTGGTAAGCATTCTCTGACACCCTCTGCGACTCTATTGGTTACAGTTCCTTCACATTCCTGGTAGCACCCAGTAGTTGCTTTGCAATGGCTTGTCTCCGTCCACTGTTGATAAACCCGGTCTACCGTTGGTTTTCTTATTTCAGTAGAGATTGAAACCATGAGCTCCAAAAGGGTAGTGACCCCATCCATCTTTCCTGACACACCTCGAGGCACACAGTAGGTGCTCAATAAATACTTCTTGACTGGATGAGCAAGTATATGCTGATCCTGGCACTTCTGGTACCCCTTCCCTTTCTCCTTTACCCATAGCATTTATTACCATGTAAGGTTTTTTATTATAATTATTGTGTTAACAGTTTCTTCCCACCCCTAATGTAAGCTCCATTAAGACAATAATGTTTGAGATACATTATTTAGTGTATGCTGGAATACAGGAGGCCGGCCCTCTGCTGCTGTCCCAGCGCCTTTCATACCTGTTCTCTTGCCGCCATTCTGGTCCTCGTCTATTCTCCCTGCCTCCTCGTGAATGTACTAGGGGTTGGGAGACTCCGTCTGTATCAGGTGGTAGGAGCAGGGACCCACATTCCTTCTGGTAAGTCTACTACCTCAGGTAACTCACATCACTGACAAACTTGAGAGATCGGCACCTATAATCTCTGACTTAAGGCCTTTTCCACAAGCTTTGCTATACATTTTTAACTGCAGAGAGAAATGGACAAAATAGACCACGTGAAGTTTTTCTGCCTTACTGAAGATTTAATGTTCTGGGTGACAGTATGACCTGTGCTTACGAGTGTGTGTTCAGAAATCAGACAGGTGCCGATTCAGCCTCCACCACCACTGCTTATCCTGGCCTGAGCTTATTTCTTCATCTGTAAAATGCTTAGTATAGTATCCCATCACATGGGGACATAAGTGTGAAATATAGGTTATCTATTTTTCATGGGTAATTGAGTCTTCTTTCCAGCCCCTTCCAATATTTTCTGCTGTACCTAATGTAGAAATCTCAATGAACTAGGCTGCTTATGGAACCCGGTGATAATTATTGAAGGCTCTATGGTTGAGATTAACTCACGTTGATAATTATTTTGTAACGGAGTACCTTTCTGCTTTAGTCTATCACAGTGAACACGACAGGTCACATTTGTCTGTGATGACTTGATATCCTGTAGGATACAAGAGTGATCTTCAGGTTATCATGCCAAAGATCAATTTTCGACGTCCAGGACTTAAAACCTTAAAAATATGAGATATTACTGAGATTGCCTTGACCCCAAAGCCATATCCTGAAAGGTATATATTATACTACCTCATTGTTATGCACATAAATTATTCTAAAGAAGAATGAGGTGAGAGGAATCTACTATTAGTACAGATCATTTCAAATATTTGGCTATATGACTTCTTCATACACTACCTTACTTTAAGGGTGCCTAAATTTTCTATTCTCTCCTTAGCAATACGTACTCCTACGTATGACTGGC